CCGACGCCTTGGGTGGCCTTGGGCTTTCACAGTAACGATTCTGTTGTAGTTACTGAGCGCACAAATTTCACTGCAATTGTTGCACGGCCTCCGTTTGCGAAAAGAGCGCGCTTTTCAGAGACAGCGAAGTAACATCTGAGATGCTTATTCACGTTCATCTGTAGCTGTGAGTGCGTTTCGTGCGTTGTTATGAAAGTGCGACGCGACCACGGTCCCGAAGGCGCCACTGTTCCGAACTCCACCGCCAAGGTCATTAGCCGTTTGGTAGCGTGTGTTACGCAGCTCGCGACTGCTTCTGCGCACAGCTGATAGACGAGCCGACGAGACGATGGTGAGTTAAGGCAAGGTTTATGTACAGCCTAGAAATAGAGGCGCTACATATTCGGCATTGCGGCCGACAGCTTAGGGACTTGAAGAGCCGAGATGTTTCTGACGCGTACGTGAGCTTCTTTCTGACTCATAGGTCAACTGTTGGGGACACGCCGCTGGACTTTTTTGCTTTTTTTCTAGGAACCGAGAGGACCTTTTCGTCACCAACGTCAAAGCAGGAGTGCCGCTGGCCGTGATGTCAGAATCTTCCAACGGGGACCCACCACTGGGCTGCGTCATGATCATCAAATCCAGAGCCCCTGCGCGTGGTTGAGCCCTAGGATAAGTGACGTTGCCACGAATTGCGTAAGACTTGCTATGCTGGAAGGCGCCGATTGCTTCATCGGGCTCGTGGGCGGAGGGGGCTCGCTGTGCGTTGCGTAAAGCAGACCGGCGCCGCCGCTTGATGACGTCGTTGAGCTGATCGCGTCAGGCGCGTTCGATCGCTGGCCTTGATACAGATTGTCTTCGCAGAAGCCTTGACGTTCGTTGAGGACTCCCAGGCGTAACAGCACCCACCAACAGACAATGCACCGGAAAGACGAGCTGCTTCCACGTGGCTCTGATATCGGGTGCACTCGTGCCAGGAAGACCAGCACTGTCTCTCTTGCACAATATAGCTCCATGCTGCGATCACTGGCATCGCTTTGAATGACAAATCTCTTAGAGAAATTGGTTGCCAAGAGGACGGGTTTTTCACTTAGGACGTGTTTCAGCTTGCAAAAGGCATTCTCCTTTTCTAAGTCCCACACTACTTTAACCAGCTCGGATATTCAAAGTGCTTCATCTAGAGGGCTGGCAATGCTAGAGTAGTTTTTCACTAAATGCTGATAGTATCCAGCTAGAAACAAAAATGCCGTTATCTCAGATTTTGTGGTTTGCCGTGGACAGTTCACGATGGCGGCTACGATAATTTCTGAAGGTGTACGCCGGGCTCGCCCCACAACGTGTCCATGGTAAGACACCTCGCCGAACCCTAGGTAATATTCAATAGGTTTCACGGTAAGACCAGCTTCATTCAGCCTGTTCAGCACACCGCGCAAATTCTTGACACGTTCTTCCCAGTTGTTTGAGAAGATGGCGACATCGTCAAGATACGACCGAGTGAACTCAGAGAGGTCTATAAGAACGTGGTCCATTAATCGTGAAAAACAAAAGGGTGCATGTTTCAATATAAAGCTCAGCTTAAGTGGACAATACGTTCCGAATGGAGGAACGAACGTGGTATAGCGGCTAACACGAATTTAGTCACTTCATGTAGAGTGTCAGGAAAAGCTGCATTCAGATTCATCTTCACGAACAGACGGCTTGATCTTATTCAGAAGCGGAATTGTGGGATGAAATTTCAAACTGGGGAAGGAGAAAATGCAGAATGAAAGCGTAGGTGTACTCATTCCTTTAGGTAATGAACGATTTGCTGTGGACAGAAGGGTTCGTAATGCAGCATTGGTTGCTTTTTCGTTAACAGGTGAACGGGCAGCAGTGACGCGGGGGCATCGGCGGCAGCAAACATCTGTGATGGCGGCTCAGCTGCTGCGTCTATGATCGCCGCGTCGGCATGTCGTCGACATGTCGTCGGCGCCATTCGAACTCCGCTTGCCACTTATCGTGACGCCGCCTTTTCTGGCGCTCATGCCACGCAGCGTCTGTAAGCTTGAAGCCGTAGCCGAGTTGCAGAGACGGCACCCAATCTGGGTTCATCTCGTTGAAAAACGCGGACAGCTTTACTACGAACACAACAGCATCTACGTTAATTCTTGTCATTGTGATTCCTCTCTCAGTCGATTACTTTCTACGAATTAGGTGAGCTTCACACACACACGAATGTTGTCGCTGATTCGTCTAATTGAGCACGCTTTTTTTATGCGTGCCAGTCCTCCAACGGTTCACGCTGAACATTTTGGTATGCTCACACCTCTCTTTAATAACTTTCGGTATTTGAAAAAAGCTCGTAATAGTGGGCTGCTTTTTTCTTCCGCACCTGTTGCTACGATTAGAGCAGCCTACAATTTCGGCCATTATCATCGCAAAGGAAGAACCTCGTAGGTTCAACGAGAAACAAAATTTGGACACTTATCCACGATACACCTATTTCACTCAGAGAAAAGTATACTCCCAAAGTCACCATAGTTGCATTTACACAAAGCACCTGGTTTACGACTCCAGTAATACACTGCATTAACAAGAAGAAATGATTATAGTCGTTAGCGATATTGACAGCGTCTGAAGATGACCGGAAGCGTTACAGTGAACACGCGCTGGTATTTCGACCGGAAATTTAAACAGCAGAAGCCGAGTTTTATATATATGATATTTCTAGCATATTAAGAAGCAATAGCGAGAAATTTTGGAAAGTAGTGAGTCCGAGTTACGGGTCCAAGGTCCTATAGTATCAAAAGCAAAAGACGGAAAACTCCTTTTCTCGTTAGACGCCGCCACAGAATTCGGTAATTGTTTCTGGACGCACTTGCGATGGGCTTCAGTCGGGAGAATGTGCACTTGGGTACACTTTGGAGGTCAATTAAAGTACATTCCAAACTTTTGCTGTGTCCGAACATTGGTTGATTGATTTATTGATATGTGGTATTGAGCGTACCAAAACCACCATAAGATTATGCGAGATGCCGTAGGGGAAGGCTTTGGAAATTTCGACCACCTGGGGTCCTGTAACGTTCAACCTAATCTGAGCTTCCGGGCCTATGTCACTTTCACTTCCATCGAAAATTCAGCCGCTGCAGGCGGAAATCGATCCCGCGACGTGCGCCCGGCGATTTGTGTGGTGTGTCCTAGAATACAGAGGAAACCCACAAGAGGCCCATTTTAGCCTCGAAGTTTGGTGGCAACACTCTTTTGATCTTCAAGAAACAAATGGCCCTGCAAAAATTGGCTGTGTTAACCTTACTTGGAATAATAATAATAATAATAATAATAAGCTTCCAGATGCCACGTACAGTGGGAATCGATGATACGCGAAGCACGGATGAGGAAGGTTCATGCGCTATTTTTAAGTCAGCACAACGTTATGAGGTGGAAGATAATTATGCCGTACATGACTTACACGTCATGATTATCATGCTCGGACGTGTCATTTACGTTCGCCGTCACTTAGCGTCACGTGATACCAAATTGTTATATGTGGAGCTAGCGAAATGGCTGCGAGCGTGCTATGAGCGTAGCATGTAGTCATTATTTACATGGCACGCATATCATGACTATCATGGTTGGACGTGTCGTTAATTTTGCCGTCCAATCACGTAACATTATAAAGAATTCGGTATATGTGTAGCTAGCAATACGGCCGCGATCGCGTTATGAACGTAGCATGTAGTTGAGTTTTACATGACACGCATATCATGATTATCATGTTTGGACGTGTCAATTACCTTCGCCGTCCATTCACGACACGCAATAACAAATTTTGTACATGTGAAGCTAGCGAAACGGCCTCCAGCACATCATGAGCTTGGTACGTTAACGTGCTCTTTATAAGTCGTAAGTCATGTTTATTATGTTTTTGCCAGTTATATACCTTCGTCAACCGTTGACATCACGTAAGCACCCGGTAGCATAAAAGTTGTAGCGCACAATGCCTGCGTAAGATCTAAACTGGAGTACGCATCAATTGTGTGCAATCCGCATTATAAAAGTTATTTCCCAACTGGCAAATATTCAGCAAAAAGCAGTGATACTTATATTTGTAAAGTACAAACGTCTAGGTTCCTCTACACAGTTGACGAAGCCCTATATACCAACGCTGGAAGCCCGGAGAAAAGTTTACCGCCTTTCATTCCTTCAACACTGCCTAAAAGGTAAAATCAATTTATCTCTGCCAGCATCAGTTAAGCGTCTCAGCAAAAAAAACAAAATACGGCACTATCAGAAACATTCGTTAGCACCAATCTTCGCTCGCACAAAATCACTTCATTACAGTTGTTTCCCTCATACAGTCGTGGATTGGAATTCAGTACGAAATAGTATATTCAGCTCCGATGGTATTTTTAGCAATATTCTTTACACCATGTTTTAAACGTCTAGCACTCTTCTGGTTACTCTTACTGCTTGCTTTATTTACATGTTTACTGGCCCTATTTTTCAATGATTTTTCAACTAACATTGTTGTTTCATTTGGTTCTTGTGTTCACCATTGCGTTGTTTGGATATAATTTTTGCATTGTACCTGAAGGCGATCGTGCTTGAGCCAAAATGTTGGCCAGCAGTATTTTAAATGCAGGAATAAATGAAATAAAGAAACGTTTCGTCGGTTTAATGCCCAGTCCCCCGTAGTGGGTATGAGCCGAACATCAGAACAAGCAAGCAAGCAAGCAAGCATGCAAACGTGGCCCTTCGCGAGCAGGCAAAGCACGCAGTCAGCTTTTGCGAGCTGCCAACCATACCGCCATTGTCGAAACGATCTTCGGCGCACGCTACATCCAGCGAGTACAGATCACTACAGATCCGCACGTATCACCGCCTTCTCTAGCATCGGATAGGGTCCTTGGAATGATGAACAACTAATTCATCATAGAGAAGATTGGCGAAGGTGCGTACGGTGCCGTGTAAAAGGCGAAGTGCAAGGCCACCAACAAGATCGTCGCTAAAAGAAGACCCGGGTCGAGGAAGCAGACGAAGGGATGCCAGCCACAACGATACGAGAGGTGGCCCTCCTCCGTGAGTTGAAGCATGAGAACATAGTGCGTCTCCTTGAAGTCCTCATCCCACCTTCGAAGGCTGTACACTTGGTTTTCGAGTACATGGCCATGGACCTGAGGGCACTCTTCGATCCTCATGGCAAGAACAGGACCTTTGATGACGCCGTTGTTAAGAAGTACCTCCGTCAGACTGTTGCAGCCATTATATTGTGTCATCAAAGAAGAGTTCTGCACCGCGGCCTCAAGCCAGCCAACATGCTTGTCGACGGAAACGGCAACCTAAAGTTTACTGACATCGGCTTGTTCCGTTCTTTTACGCCACCAGTGGGCATTTCCACCCACAAAGTGGTCACCCTCTGGTACCGTGCGCTGGAGATGCTCTTGGGTTCCAGTCGTTACTCGACACCAGTGGACGTGTGGAGAATCGGGTGCATCTTCTTCGAGCTGCTGACAGGCAAAACTCTGCTCTGCTGGAATTCGGAGATCGACCAGCTGTTCCGAATCTTCCGCGTCCTTGGTACACCAACAGTACAGAGCTGGCCCGATGTTATGCAGCTCAAAAACTACAAGGCGGCCTTTCCCATATGGAAAGAGAACATCGTGGCCACGCTGCTTTCTGGGGTGGACTGTGGGGTTAGATCTGCTTCTGAAGATGCTTATCTACAGCCTTGATGAGAGGATCTAGGGCATGATGCCACAACACACCCCAATGTGGCCGGATCGAGAGATTGCAAGCGGGCAGCACACACCACCGAGAAAGAAGGGCAATGAGACTTTGCCTTGGCAGCTCGAGCTCCTACTCTACCGTTCCTGCGGTGGCAGTTGGACCCGAGGATCACTCAACACCTGAGTGGAGTACATTAGAGAATTAAAAGAAATAAGTGTTACGTGGGTGGCTCTGCTGAAGTGGTACCTTCTGCCTCACTTCTGCAGAGCCACGCTGGCATGAGAAAAGATAGTTTCAAGAAAGATCAGCAGCCCCGGGTGCCCAGGTGGTCTAAACTTCCAGATCCCGTACAATTTGAAAACCATGGATTTAATACACAGACTTTGAAAACTTGGCGATGTTGCGTCAGTTGCTTGGCGCCGCCGCAAGCGGTGGCTGACAGTGGCGCAGCTGTCGCAACATGCTTCGGCAAGTCCAGCCACGTGAGCCGGATAGAGCGTGTGCAGAGTGCTTGACTGCGGTTACGCTGTCTCTTTGTGTTGCCATGCGTACACTGAAAATATCGGGCGTGCTGCTGTGTTCCTTATAACGTGGATGTTTGTTCCTTTGCAATATAGTGCCTAGAATGTTGTATACATTGCTTGGATCTACGTCACCTGACGTCACTGCTTGGCGCAAGTCGACCATTTTAATGAACCACAGTCAGGCCTTGTTCAGCCGCATCTATTTATTTAATCATTTATCCATGTAGCCTAAAGACCCAAAGGCATTACATGGGGGAGGGGGTAATAATAATACATACATGGAATCAACACAAGTACCAAAGTAATAAAAGGTTTTAAAAATTTAATATCATCAAGCAAAAATAAATAACAATAAAATGTAGTTAGAAAAAGTACATGGAAAGCATCTATAAGGACAAACTGCACTAAAAATAAAAAAAGAACAGCGAGGCTGAACATTTTTTCTCACACAGTGGTAAAGTGACCGAGCTATACATTGAGCTGGAAGTATAATTAAGGGCACATGTACATCCGAGGCAGTTATACAGGGTTGCTTAAGGATGATGATGAAGTTTAAATTTGTCGGTGAGTTTGTAATGGCTTTTGTACAAACAATATCCTTAGGCAGTTTATTCCATTGATTAGTAGCAAAAACCAGTGGGAAATATAGGAACAGGTTTGTACGGGCAAAAAATTGTTGTAGTTAGAACTCATGATCAAGGCGAGAGAATATTCCATGGGCGCATTTATAAGGGTAGACAATGATGACTCATTATGATAGAGATTCTGGAAGAGAGATAGAAGTAAGAACAGTCTACGTGACTGCAACAGTCTACGTGACCGCAACTGACTGCAAAGATGGTAACTTCAGCGACACTTTTTTTCATTTATGCTAGAAGTTCGAGAGTAATTTCGGTATGAATCAGGCACTTTTGTTTGGAAGGGACTCTATTTTATTTATTGGGTGAGCCTGGTGAGGGCGTCATATTTGAGAAGCATCATCAAGTTTAGAGTGGACTAGCGTATTGCAAGATAAAAGTTTTGTAGCAGAATTGTCAAAATGTAAGTTTCGTCTTGTGAATCCGAGTGTCTTGTACTCACTGCTAATGATAGTGTAATGTGTACGCTCCATGATAAGTCACTCGGTAAATGAACTCCCAAATACTTGAAATTTGATGCATTTTCTACTTGTTTCTCATTCAAACTTTAGTGATGAGTTATTCCGTTTATTTTTGTAGTAAATGAAATAACCTTTGTTTCGTTCACCTTGACTTCCATCTGCGAGTCCTCGCACCGCATACCTAACACAATAAAGTCCCTCTGCAGAATATTAGCATCTTTACTGCTAGACAACCTTCTATGTATTACGTAGTCGTCCGCCAACAACCTTACTGTAAGAGTCTTAAAATTAGCTATATCATTACCGTAAATTAGAAATAGATGTGGTCCCAGCCCAGATCCCTGAGGCACTGCCAATTTCACGTGCTCTAATGGGAAATGTTTGGCGTTCACCACAATGGATTGGCACCGCTTAGTTAGGAATTCCGTATCCAATTGATTACGCCGATGTCTAAGTTAAGGCTGGTAAGCTTTTTCAATAGTCTGCCATGAGGAACTGTATCAAAGGCTTTATTTAAATTTACAAAAAGCAGCATCAATCTGTCATCTATCATGTGCGGCAATGCGAATGTCTAATTTAACTCCAATAACTGTGTGTCAAATGATCGTCCACGCTGAAAGCCATGTTTGTTAACAAGAAATAAATCGTTTTCTCCTTAGTAATTAATGACTGCCGATTAAATATATGCTCGAGCAGTTTGCTTCCAATACTAGTTAAAGAGATTCGTCTGTAGTTATTTGGGTTAAAGTGGTCTCCGGATTTTATTGTAGGTATTACGCGGGCTAGCTTCCAATCGTCGGGTACACATCCTGTGTCGAGAGACTGTTGGAAAACGGCCCTGAACATGGGACATAATTCTAATTTTACTATCTTAAGCTACTTTGGGCATATCTCGTCAGGACCTGGTGCATAAATTTCAGGAAGGCGATCAATGGCTGCTGCGATGCCTTGCAAAGTGATGAGAATCTCTTCCATTCGGGAAGTTGAAAAATTTTACGTAGGTTAGGTAACATTAGAGTTTCATCTGTAACAACAGAGCTAAAAAATTACCGAAGTCTGTCGCTGCATCTGAAGAAAAAAGGAGTTTTCCGTCTTTCGCTTTTTATACTATAGGACCTTGGACCCGTAACTCGTGCTCACTACTTTCCAAAATTTCTCGCTATTGCTTCTTAATATGCTAGAAATATCATAGATATAAAACTCGTCTTTTGCTCTTTTGATTTCCGTTCTACATACCAGCGCGTGTTCACTGTAACGCTTCCAGTCATCCTCAGACGCCGTCAATTTCGCTCGCGAGTATAATCGTTTCTTCTTGTTTATGCAGCGTATTACTAGAGTCGTAAACCAGGTGCTTTGTGTAGATGCAACTATGGTGACTTTGGGAATATACTTTTCTCTGAGTGAGATAAGTTTATCGCGGATAAGTGTCCAATTCTTGTTTCTCGTTGAACCTACGAGGTTCTTCCTTTGCGATGGTAATGGGCGAAATTGTAGGATGATGTAATCGTAGCAACAGGTACGGAAGAAAGAGGCAGCCCACTAGTACGAGCTTTTTCAAATACCAAAGGTTAATGAAGACAAGTGTGAGCATACGAAAATGTTCAGCGTGAACCGTTGGAGGACTGGCAGGCATAAAAAAAGCGTGCACATTTTGACGAACAAGCGACAACGTTCGTGTGTGTGTGGAGCTCACTTAATTCGTAGAAGGCAATCGACTGAGAGAGGAATGACAATAATTAACGTAGATGCTCTTGTGTTCGTAGGAAAGCCGTACGCGTTTTTAAACCAGATGAACCCAGATTGGGCGCCGTCTCTGCCACTCGACTACGGCTCCAAGCTTACAGACGCTGCGTGGCATGAGCGCCAGGAAAGGTGGCGTCACGATAAGGAGCAAGCGGAGTTTGAACGGCGCCGACGACATGTCGACGACATGCCGACGAGGCGATCATGGACGCCGCAGCTGAGCCGCCATCGCAGATGTGTGCTGCCGCCGATGCCCCCGCGTCACTGCTGCCCGTTCACCTGTTAACGAGAAAGCAACCACACTCTAAGCCAAAAATGGCCGAAATGGGAGCAACGGCTGTTTTTACTCCTTCAGACCCACTGTTACTCTCAGAAAAGACCAAGCGGAACAAGATGGCCGACTTGTTCGAGAATGGGGGAGCAACTGTATTCATCTTAAGTTTGTAAGGGAGCAACGGAAGGAGGAACCGCTGTAAATGCTCTCGTCACGCAACGGTTACTCCCCGGCAGGACACCGCACACAAATATGCATGCCGCCCACATTGATATTCATGGGCTAGATTATTGTTTGTTCTGTGTGCCAAGCTTCACCAAACCAAAACAGTGATTTATTTTAGCATCCGTAGATAAAAGATAGCAGCGCTGGCTGAACGCAGAAGGCCTGAGAATACAGTACGGCAAATACCTAACACACAGAGCAGCAGAATGGAGAGTTGGCACGTCAAAGCGGACCGAACGCCGACACACGTGCAAAACAACGATAAAAATAGCCTAGACACGCCGTTCGTCCGCGAAGTAAAGGCGTCAAAGTCGATCAAGCACCGAAACACGTGCATAAGGAGCCCCCCCCCCCCCCTCCCCCGCCCAGATATATCGGAGAAGAAAAAAAAAAAAAAGCGGACCCAGACGCGCTTCTCATCAGCCATACACTTAGTAGCACGCTTCACCGTGTAGTTTGAGGGCAGAATGACAAATCTGCGCCATCTGCGCCCGCACGACAAGTGTGGCGCTAGCGTAGCAAACGATGTAAGTTACAAAGTAATTTTTATTCAGTGTTTATGTTGACTAGCACTGAATAAAAATTATACTCAACTTTTTATGTTTATTTATGGGTTTTAGTGTACCTCAGTTTTTTTTTTATAATTGTATTAGGAGAACACACTGAAATCATTGCGCTGACGCCTGTGCTGCCACTGCTCGACGTTTTTTTTTTCGGTGCAACTAGGTTCGCGTTCGCACTACTCATATTCATTTGGTCTGTAGTCGGCGAGCACATGGACGTGCGGGCTTGTGAGCTATGTTTTGATCGTGTGTGTGTGTCGCAGATTTGCGTTTCTACTTATTCGTGATAAAGGTTAGTGTATATTTATCTTTATGGAGCGCGAAGTAGTTGTGGATTTTGCTGCCGGGTGGAACAAACACATCGTAAACACGTCTTCAGCTATCTGCAAGCCTGTTCGCTCGTCGGACAAAGGACTGTGCATGCGTCAGCGTGCAGGTGAGTGGCATTTCCAGCAACATTTAATGCTCTTACAATACATTGTTGAGTGGTTGCGCTATTGAAAGAGAAATGATTTGCTCTTATTCGCCGTATCCATTGCTTGCCGTATCGGACTAAATTACCTCTATTACCGCCTGCATACCCTCTTGCT